CTCCTTCTCCTTCTCCTTCTCCTTCTCCTTCTCCTCCTCCTCCTCCTTCTCCTCCTCCTCCTCCTTCTCCTCCTCCTCCTTCTCCTCCTCCTTCTCTCCCTCCAGCAATCTGCAGGAATTCTTGCGGCGACGGGTTTTGTTCTCGGCCGAACATGTGCACGTGCTCCAACGGACAACTTTCTCCCAACTGTGGCTCAGCTGGAGGTGAGAGAACGTCCTGGGGACCCTCCTCCCTCTGAGCAGTCGTGCTCTCTTAAAAAAGAAAAGACATTTCTCTGGGCACCTCAAATATTGGGGTGTTTTGGCAGCCCCTTCCCAACCTGACCCGGGCAGAGGTCACAAAATATTCCGGGTTTTGGGGTTGTTTTCCCCAGGGATCCTCATTTCCCCCGAATTCCTGGAGGGAAATCGTCACCTGCTGGTGAATTCTGCTCCTCCGGGATGACAAATCCTCCGGGATGCAGCTCAGGAACCACATCCCAGAGCAGCAAACAGGGACTGCCAAGGAGTCCATCCAGCCCTGGCCGCTCTTTGAAGTGGAATCAAATCAGTCCCTGCTTTTGGGAACCAAAGAAATATCTTTGATTGTTTTGGTTTTTTTTCCAATGGAAAAATGATGAAGTTTTTGCCAGGCTGTGGTTTGGATGGGCAGGGATTGCCCAGGGTTTTAAAGCAAACTGCAGTGACATGATGGAGTTCCTCCTGGAGCTGGGAATGCAGCATTCCCGCTTTTTCTGAGACCTCCGGGACAAACACCTGGAAAATTCCAGGAAGAGGGCTGGCTGGCTTGGGTTTCTGCAAAGCAGAATGACAGGCAGGCAGGAAGCAATTCCCAAATCCCTCTGGGAATCCCTGCACGGTGCTTCCAACACCAACCTGCAGCACAGGGCTCTGCATGGAAAACTTTCCAGGTGGAGTCCAAATCCCGAGAGTTCACAGGGTTGGTTTTTTTTTTTTTGGTGGAAAGGAATTATTGCTCCTCTGTGCCCTTTTCCCACTGGAAAGGACCTGGGAGTTCTGCTGGAGGCTGGAGACGAGTCAGGAGCCCCAGAACAGAGGTTGCTGGCCACCAGTTGCCACTTGGGATGTTCCCAGTTGGGATTTTGCGGGCATGGAGAAGGTTCCTTTTAGGCTGGAGGGTGATGCAGTGCTGGGACAGCACTGGCACAAGGGCAAAAGCTCTTCCCAAAAGGGCTCCAGGTGTTTCTAAAAAGCCAGGATAACACATGGATGAGGCTTTTCCTGCACTGTAGATCCTTAAATGTGGGCAACAGATTTATATCTGTCCTTTATATCTGTCATTTATATACTCAATCCATCCATAAGTGACACCACTCCTCGATCCCACCACAGCCAAAAAACCCCCTGCCAGCAAAAAAACCCAGAGCTGTGTTTCGAGAAGGGTGATTTTGTGTAAAATCCAGAAATTAATGGGATTTTATCGAGTCTTTTGAGGTCTCAGATGGAAAGAGACAACCCAGAAGTGAATTATTTCCATTTTTGCCCAGCTGGAGACGAGCTCTTGTTAATATATTGTTAATATATTGTTAATAAAGTGACTTGCAGGCGTCTGGTGGAAGGGCAGAGAACTGCCCCCCACCCCCCAAAAAGCCTCAAAATCGCAATCAGGGTGTGACCGGAAGGAGGAAATTCCCAGGATCTGCTCCCAGAAATCCCTGGAAATACCCCCCAGGAAGCTCCAGAGCCTGTGGGTGCACAGAGCTCCGGGAAGGGGAAGGTGCTGGAGCCACAGAAGTTGGGGAATCTGGAGTGAGGGTCCATGTGGAAGCAATCAGGGAGGAATGCCAGGAATGCTGTGAGCAGTGTGTACATTTGGGCATTCCCGGGAGCCTGGGGTGGATTTCCAAGGGGTTGGGTGGGTTCCTCTGCAGGGGCTCCAATCTGGGATTCATTGAGGGCATGTTTGGGGCTGCACTTCTCAGGAATTCTTCAGGGGGAGGAAAGCAGACGAGCTGTGCATTCCAGAGGCAAGGAAAGCCGCTCTGCCTGTGCTGTGTCATCCCAAAAAGCTGGATTTCCTACTTTGGGGAGCAAAGATGTTTTAGGAGTCGTTTGCAAGTGGCTGTTTAGAGAGAAAACCTGCCTGCAAACTCCTCTGGCAGAGCAGCAGCAGCCACTGAGCCTTCAAAATCAAGTTGGAGAACTAATCCAGCCCCATCCAACCATGGGAAAAGTTAACCAGGGAGAGCTGTCGTTCTCCTCTTCCTACAGCTTTGCTCTCTGCTGCCCTGGAAAGTCCTGACAAAGCACAACAGGCCTTGAAATTCCCGGTTGAAAGATGGTTCTTCTGCTTTCTAGATCTGCAGGGGGGTTTGAACAGGGCCAGCCTTGGACAACTCAAGGCTGGACAGGGCTTGGAGCAAGCTGGGATAGTGGGAGGTGTCCCTGCCCGTGGCAGGGGGTGGAACTGGAGGGGCTTTAAGGTCCCTTCCAACCCAACCCATTGTGGGAGTCTGTGATAAATCAGATGGTGATGGGACCTCAGGGCTTTCGGGAACGTGGCAGGGGTAAGAAATGGGAGCTGGAACAGCCTTTGCCAGTTAGCTGGAAAGTTTCTGGATGAGCATCAGGGCTCTTCTCATATCCAGGCCCCGAATTTCTCACACCCCGCGTTGAACGCGAGGCTCGGGATGCGTAAGGAAGAGTCCTGACAGATGGACAGCTCTGACAGACAGACACTTCCGAGCTCCCTGTGTCTCTGGGCAGCCCTCCCAGATTTCTGGCTCTAATTGCTTTCCCAGGGCTGACTGATGGAGGTGAGGGCTGGAAGGGGAAGCATGTGCCGGAATCGGGGCCTTTTCCCAGAGAGACCGACCTCGTGTCTGACAACCCTGGGCCGTGCTTTGAAGCCTCCAGCTCAGTTTTCCTTAAGGATTAAGCTTCCATCTCAATTTGGCCGGATCCCTGGCCCGGGGGGAGCAGTAGGAAGACGAGGAGACATCGTGACTAATTCAAACCACCCCAGCGCCGCCGGGATTAAACGCGCGGCACACGCGGAGCCCCCGAGCCTTCCCACCCCTGAGCCTTCCCCTCCCGCCTTCCACAATCCCTCTGAACCGCCTCATTATCCCTGTTGGACACTCCTGAGTCCTGCTGCCTCTTGGACAGGCAGCTCTTGCCTGCTTGGAAGTGGTGTTGGATGCACGGAGGAGACGCTTCCCCTCTCCAGCCCCCCGGAGCTGCCAAGGCACGGCCCCTCCTCTCCCGGGCAGACACGAGTTGTGCTCTCTTACATGCCTTTTTATTTTTAATATTTTATTTTTTTTTTAACGTGAAAAACACTTTTCACGTGACTTGCTCTAACCTCAGGCACTTGCAGTTGGAGTTGTCACATTACAAAAGGAGGAATGTGTCGTTCCAGGGCCGTTTGTAACTCAACGTTCTGCAGGAAAACTCAATTTTTTGGGGGCTCTTCTCCTCCAGCGATGAAACACTTCAAGCCCAATCCTGGCTTTGTGTCTGCAGCAGGATAAAACTTCCCAGCTTATTTATTGCTATTGTTTTCCTACAGTGCCTTAGTCACATCCAGTGGGTCATAATCTGGTGTGAAAGCTGAACTCTCACATGGAAGAATAGATGGGACGTGCTTTTCTCTGCAGATTTCTGTCAAAAAAACCCTCTTGCAGCCAAGGAATGTCACCAACAAGGCCATGTAGTAACTGTAAAAGGATGATAAATGTCCTCAAAGTTTCCTCCACCAAAGAAATTCTATCCCCCCAAACATCTCACGAGGCTTTAAGACGGAGGAATGTTAAAGGTCGGGCAGATTTTAGGATGTGAAAAGGGTTTAAAGGGAAGCAGTACCGTGAAATAATGATAAAGAAAAGGTATGGAGATCTTGGAAAAGTGGAGTATCTGAAAGAAAAATTTGTTCAAAGAGAGAGAGTTCTCAAAGACAAGGAGATGTCAGGAATTCTGCCCTCACTCACAGTCTCCTGGGCTGTGGTGGGACGTCCTGGAGGAAGGATGAAGCTGGAGATGTTTAATTGGGGTGGATTCCTTAAGGAATGGGTGGGTGCCTTTGGTTTCTGTGGAATGAGGTTGAGGTTGGATCTCAGGGAAAGGTTCTTCCTCCCCAGAGGGTGCTGGGGCACTGCCCAGGCTCCCCAGGGTTTGGTCACGGCCCCAAGGCTGCCAGAGCTCCAGGAGGGTTTGGACAGGGGGGGATTGTTGGGGTGTCCTGATGATCTTTGTGGGTCCTTTCCCACTCAGGATATTCCAGGATTCTACAGAAATCCTGCTGCATTGTTGCTGTGGATGTTTCTGTGTTCGTAGGGGACAAATCAAGGCCCAACTCCTTCAATAAAGAGGGGCAGGGGGTGGAGAAGAACGAAGGAAAACCCTGGGGAACATGTCCAGAATTCTTGGACAACGCTCTGAGGGACAGGGGGGGATTGTTGGGGTGTCCTGGGCAGGGCCAGGAGCTGGACTGGATGATCCTTGTGGGAATATCCCAAGATATTCCACGATTTTACTCAGTACATTTAACCAGAAGGAACTTGACACTTCCAACCCGACTTTCCCGAAGCTTTGCCCGTCCATCCCACGGGAGCGGTTCGTGTCCCGGGATTTTGGAGGGGTGGGATCCCTGTGTGATGTTTTCCCCCCTCTTCCTTCCCCCACAGTCCAAACGTGCAACGTGAGGTGCATGAACGGGGGGAGCTGCTCCGAGGAGGCGTGTCTGTGCCAGAAGGGATACACCGGCACCTACTGCGGGCAGCGTGAGTGCGGGAATGCCGCGGGAATGCCACGGGAATGCTGCGGGAAGGGCACGGAGGGCACGGGCACCCAGGGATCTGAGGATGCCATGGGAAGGGCACAGAGGGCACGGGCACCCAGGGATCCAGGAATGGGCAGGGAGGGCAGGGAGGGCACGGGCACCCAGGGATCTGAGGATGCCATGGGAAGGGCACAGAGGGCACGGGCACTCAGGGATCCAGGAATGCTGCGGGAAGGGCACAGAGGGCACAGGCACCCAGGGATCTGGGAATGCCACGGGAAGGACATGGAGGGCACGGGCACCCAGGGATCCGGGAATGCTGTGGGAAGGGCAGGGAGGGCACTCAGGGATCTGGGAATGCCACGGGAAGGACACGGAGGGCACGGGCACCCAGGGATCTGGGAATGCCACGGGAAGGACACGGAGGGGATGGGCACCCAGGGATCCGGGAATGCTGTGGGAAGGGCAGGGAGGGCACTCAGGGATCTGGGAATGCTGCGGGAAGGGCACAGAGAGCACGGGCACCCAGGGATCTGGGAATGCCACGGGAAGGGCAGGGAGGGCACGGGCACCCAGGGATCTGGGAATGCCATGGGAAGGGCACGGGCACTCAGGGATCTGGGAATGCCACAGGAAGGGCAGGGAGGGGATGGACACCCAGGGATCTGGGAATGCCGTGGGAAGGGCACAGAGGGCATGGCCTCCAGGGATCTGGGAATGGGCAGGGAGGGCAGGGAGGGCACGGGCACCCAGGGATCTGGGAATGCTGCAGGAAGGGCACAGAGGGCACGGGCACCCAGGGATCCTGGAATGCCACGGGAAGGGCACAGAGGGCACGGGCACTCAGGGATCCAGGAATGCTGCGGGAAGGGCACAGAGGGCACAGGCACCCAGGGATCCTGGAATGCCACGGGAAGGACACGGAGGGCACGGGCACTCAGGGATCTGGGAATGCCGTGGGAAGGGCATGGAGGGCACGGGCACTTGGGGATCTGGGAATGGGCAGGGAGGGCATGGGCACCTAGGGATCTGGGAATGCCACGGGAAGGGCACGGAGGGCACGGGCACTCAGGGATCTGGGAATGCCGTGGGAAGGGCATGGAGGGCATGGGCACTTGGGGATCTGGGAATGGGCAGGGAGGGCACGGGCACCTAGGGATCTGGGAATGCCACGGGAAGGGCACGGAGGGCACGGGCACCCAGGGATCTGGGAATGCCGTGGGAAGGGCACGGAGGGCACGGGCACTCAGGGATCCCGGAATGCCACGGGAAGGGCAGGGAGGGCACAGGCACCCAGGGATCTGGGAATGCCGTGGGAAGGGCATGGAGGGCACGGGCACCCAGGGATCTGGGAATGCCATGGGAAGGGCACGAGGGCACGGGCACCCAGGGATCTGGGAATGCTGTGGGAAGGGCATGGAGGGCACGGGCACTTGGGGATCTGGGAATGGGCAGGGAGGGCACGGGCACCCAGGGATCCGGGAATGCTGCAGGAAGGGCACGGAGGGCACGGGCACCCAGGGATCTGGGAATGCCACGGGAAGGGCAGGGAGGGCCCCTTAGCAAGTATCTGTCTATATATCTCTTTATATTTAATATAATTTCACTGTGTGTAAATAGATATAAATTCACTATAAATATAGATTAGATATAAATTCACTGTCAGTATAAAAATATAAATATAAATATATATATAAATATATGTGTGTATTAGTTAAAATTCCTCTGTAAGCAGCAGTTTCTTTGGGAATGGGTTGTTTGATGTCAGTTCTCCTCTCCTCTGGAATCTCATCCTTATCCCCTTAGCAAGTACAGATATATCTGTCTATATATCTCTATTTATTTGATATAAATTCACTGTGTAAATATACTAGATATAATTTCAAGATAAATATATATTAGATGTAAATTCACTGGAAGTATAAAAATATAAAAGTTTATACAATATATAATATAATTATATATGTATATTAGTCAAAATTCCTCTGGAAACAATCAAATAATTCAGATGTTTACTTTAATAATACTGCAATAATGTAATAATATAATATTAATTATAATATATTAATATAATAAAGATAATAATAAATATTATTAATATGATATATTAATATAATAAATTTTATACTTTAAACCATATATCTATACTATAAAATGATAAATTAATATTATTTATATAACATAATATTCTTTCTAATACAATTATTTATTACATTTAACAACACTTGAATTGTATTTCTTTATAACAATTATTTGCAGTATTTATTTCTCATTAATTATCATTAATTGTTATTAAGAAATTAATATATCAATAAATTAATATATCAATAAATATATTAATTAATAAATACATTAAATATTATATATTATTATTTATATAATATAAAATTCTTTTTTATAGAACTATTTATTACATTAAACAACACTTGAATTATATTTATTTATAACATAATTATTTGCAGTATTTATGTCTTATTAATTATTATTAATAAATTAATATAACAATAAAGACATATTAATTAATAAATATACTAAATATTATATATTATTATTTATGTATTATTTAATAATACATTTTAATAAGCATTTCTTTTAACAAGCAACCACCAGCAATGTCTTTGAGAGAATCTCTGATCAGTCAGAACTTTCCAGGCAAATTCCCAATCCCTGGAATCAATGTGGGAACCCCCCAAAGTTCTCAGGGAAGCCAAGGAGGACTTTTAAAAGCTGGACAAACCCCCCTCCCCTTCCCCCTAAACTTCCCCTCAGCTCCCACTTTCCCGAAAGTCCAAGCGGAGCCAGAGGCACCAGCTGGAAAATTTCATCCCAAACAGCCAAAAACTTGGGAAAAATCTGAGCAACAGCAAGCCCCGGGCTTGGAATGGAGCACACAGGGAGCCCTGGGTTACGTGCAGCTCCCAGCTCCACCTGGAATGTCCTTGGGAGAGGGTTCAGATGCTGGCAGGACATCGCCGGCAGGGTGGGAACGCCGGAGACTCCCACTGGCAGCATCCCAAAGGAGAACATTCCGGCTGCCTCGGCTCCGGGATGGATTCTGGTCCCGGATGAGGCTCTACCTGGGCTCTGAGCTGGGCAGAAAGCACAGACATTAGATTGGACTATCAGGAGGTGTGTGTTGAAGTCTGTGTGTTCAGGATGCTCAATTTATGGGAATTTTTGCTCGGATGGCCCGGCCTGAAACGACAAATTCGGGTCCAAAGCGTTTCGTGGTTACGGGATGAGAAGTCCCTGCTCCCTGTGGTGTCTCCGGATCCTCCTCTCCGCTGAGGCTTGTCCTGTGCAGGGCCAGGAGTTGGACTCCCTGATCCTTGTGGGTCTCTTCCAACTCTGGATATTCCATAATTCCAGGCTTCCAATCACCAACCTCCTCCTGACTCCCGGACCGTCCACCGCAGTTTTTGGCAGGTCCCATTTTAAGCCAATGAATATTTAAAAAGTCCACGTGCTGCTCAGGCTGGTCCTTCCCTGCTCCGGGGACGTGGGATTAAATTCCTGACTCCTCTCCCATTCCTCACATTCCCACACACTGTCATTCCTTAAACATTTTCCCGTCTGCGTTTCCTCGTTCACCACCAATTCATCCCCGACCCTGACATTTAAATCCCGGTGCTGACCCCAGCAAACCGAGATTCCAGAGCTCAGGAAATCCTCTGAGGGTTTTATAGCCTTGTCATAAACGGGCAGGATGCAATTTTCCAAGGGAAAAAAAAAAAAACAAACAACCAAAAAACCAAAACCCAAAACCCCTCAGACTTTTCCCAGCGTGGAGGAGGCTCCGGGTGGGCGACTGAGGTGGAGGTGACCCTGCAAGCGTTGGCAGCGCGGATGTGGCTGAACCTCAGCTCTGTGGGTTCGCCAGGAGGAGCAAAAAAAAAAATAATCGTGGATTTCTCCTTGTTTTTTCTCCAGCTGTCTGTGAGAACGGCTGCCAGAACGGCGGGAGATGCATCGGGCCCAACCGCTGCGCCTGCGTCTACGGATTCACCGGCCCCCAGTGCGAGAGAGGTAAGGGACATCAAGTTGAATTAGGACATCAGGAGGTGTGTGTTGAAGTCTGTGTGTTCAGGATGCTTGATTTATGGGAATTTTTGCTCGGGTGGCCCGGCCTGAAATGATAAATTCGGGTCCAAAGCGTTTCGTGGTTACGGGATGAGAAGTCCCCGCTCCCTGTGGTGCCTCTGGATCCTCCTCTCCGCAGTTTGTTTTGTTGCTGAGGACAAAAAGGGTGTTTTCCCATCATTGCTGAGGACAAAAACGGTGTTTTCCTCTTGGGCATGTCCCTCTTTTTTTGTCTGGTGACCTGGGAGAGGCTTAGAAATGCCAGGAAGCTCCTCCCCAAGAGAAGGGGACGCCATCAGTCCCGTCCTGATCACTGAGAGGGAAAGACCAGAAACCAAAATGTTTAAACGTGCCAGGGGGGGAAATCAGGTTTAGATATTGGGAAGGAATTCCTGGCTATGAGGGGGGTGAGGCCCTGGCACAGGCTGCCCAGAGAAATTGTGGATGTCTCTTCCCTGGAAGTGCTCAAGGCTGGGTTGGAGCAACCTGGGCTGGTGGGAAGTGTCCCTGCCCATGGCAGGGAGTGGGACTGGATGAGATTTGAAGTCCCTCCCAAATCAAACCAGTCTGAGATTCCCTGATTTTATGATGGGATGACCCCACTGGGCAGCCAAACACCCAATCCTACATCTCTCTCAGCCCCATCTCCCTTGGGATGGGCAGAAGGCAGATGGAAGTCAGGCAGGGACATGGATGGGGGTGGGGTCCCCATTTCAACAAGGAGAGCAAAAGCTGGGTGTGGGAGCCCAGGAAAATAAGGAATTGATTCACTCCATCCCATCAGTGGAATGACATCCAGCCACTTCCTGGGAAACAGCACCTGTAATGATGGCTTGGGAAGACAAAACCTCAAGGAAAGGAGGAGGAAGGGGGGGATATAAGACCTTGTACCCCTTTCTCCATCTTTCCCTGAGGATTTATTGTGAGTCTGACAGGCTGTGGCACCCCAAGAAGGGCTCAGAGCAGCTCTGGCAGAGCAGGGACGTTGGAGGAGTCAGGGACCACCCAGAGTCCGGGAGCACATGGAAAATGCTGCTGTGAGGCTTGGCCAGCTGGCACAGGAATTCCAGCAGGCAGTGGCAGCTCCCTGGGAGAGCTCCGAGCTCCCCCCCTCAGCAGCACCATTTCTGCAGCCTCCTGCCTCTCCTATTACAGAGAATCCAATAAGAACTCAATTTATTGCCTGATTTTGACGTGTCTTGGGTGCCTCTGGAGACAGATGCTTTTGGGTGAAGGAGGTCAGCCCTCAAAAATGAAAACTAATGACATCACCAACACCAACAGCTGATAATTTTCAAACGACCGCGGACCTCAAAACCCCAAAAGTCAACATGAATTTAATAAAAAGCCAAGAGCCAGTACTCTTGTACTGAGAAACAACACCTTGGCAAAGTTATTTTGATGGCTCAGTACCACGTTTACTCGAAAAAGCTTGAAAGCCGTGACCAGAACATCGAGTTTTTCCATGAAAGAACCTTATTTTAGTTAAAAACGCCATGGAGGGGAGCACGAGCCAGCTCTGGTTCGTTGTAAACCTCCCGTGGTTTGGTGCCAGTGGGAAGCAGCTCCAGTGGGAAGCACAGTTTGCCCTCGTAGGGACACGTGGCTTTGCTGAGGGGCTGGATCACATTCATGTTTGGGCACCGTGGGTACAAAACCACTTGAATCACAGAATCTTGGAAGGGACCTCTGAGATCATCAAGTCCAACCCTTGATCCAACCCCGCTGTGGTTCCCAGCCCATGGCACTGATGCCACATCCAGTCTCTTCTTAAAAACCTCCAGGGATGGAGAATCCACCCCTTCCCTGGGCAGCCCATTCCAATGGCTGAGCACCCTCTCTGCAAAGAAATTCTTCCTAATATCCAACCTAAACCTCCCCTGGCACAGCTTCAGACCCAGCCCTCTTGTCTTGCTGATGGTTGGCTGGGAAAAGAGACCAACCCCCCCCGGCTCCCCCCTCCTGTCAGGGAGTTGTAGAGAGTGAGGAGGTCTCCCCTGAGCCTCCTCTTGTCCAGGCTGAACAACCCCAGCTCCCTCAGCCTCTCCTCACAGCACTTGTGCTCCAGTCCCTTCCCCAGCCTCGTTGCTCTCCTCTGGACCTGCTCCAGCCCCTCCATGTCCTTCCTGAGCTGAGGGCCCAGAACTGGACACAGCACTCCAGGGGTGGCCTCACCAGTGCTGAGTCCAGGGCAGGAATCACTTCCTTGGCCCTGTTGGCCACCCTGTTCCTGAGCCAGGCCAGGATCCATTGGCCTTCTTGGCCACCTGGGCACACTCTGGCTCATGCTCAGCTTCCTGTCAATCCAGGGTTTGGCCAAGACACAAAATCTCTCCCTTTCCTTTCCTGTTGGACGTGTCTGATATGATTTTTGGCGAGGCCCAGGGTGGCACGGCTCAGAAATGAAACCGAAACACCGCCGTGCAAACTCCCCGAATGAAGATCAAAGCTCCCTGGAAACGCTCCGGTTCTTTGGCCTCTCGCCTTCCCCCCAAGCTTGGGCTCGTTCTGTTTTAACTCCATGGCCAAGGATTTGGGCTGTTCTTGCCTCGAATGTTTTTTTTTCCGTGCTGGGGCTTCTTGGCCAGGTGATTTAGGGGGTGAGATGGGAATAAGAGTTGGTTTCTGGTAGCCCAGGCATCGGCCAGCCCTGCTTAAACACACACAGCTCCACGGGCTCGTGCAACATTCCCTGGTTTGGAAAAGTATCTCCTGAACCTCCCGGTGCAGGTGCCCCATAAAAGGCCTCTGCTGTGGTTGGAGCCTCACATTTACTGGCTGCAGAGAAGGGAAAGTTCTTTAAAAGCCTCCACACACCACGTTTGCTGAAGGAACCTTTCATTGTTCCAGTCTCCTGCTTTTGTAGAGTCACAGAGTGGTTTTGGGTTGGAAGGATCTTGAAGCCCATCCAGTGCCACCCTAGAGGTGTCCAGTGGACACCTCCCACTAGACCAGGTTGCTCCAGTCCCTACCCTTGAACATTTCCAGGGATGGGGCAGCCTCAGCATCTCTATTTCAAACCCAGATCTTGTTGAGTGCTGCAGTTATGGATCCTCCAAGCCCTCTCCTTGCATTGCTTCAGTCATGGCAGGTTTTCCTGATTGTCCTTTTGAAGATCCCTTCCCCTAAAACCCCACAAATCCAAGCTCCAGAGCTGTGTCTGCAGAGCTCCTCGCTGAAGTGTTGAGGCTCATAAACTGAGGCAGGCATTGGCTCTGTGTGTGAACAGAGAGCTGGAAATTCCTCAAAGAAACTTCTGGATCCAGCAGGGCTGGAAAACCAACCGTCCCGAGCGTGCAGGGAGAAAGGGAAGAGACAGGGAAAAAGAAGGGGGTCTGAGCAGGGGCTGACTTTGGAGACATCTTGTAATGTATAAAATTCTTTAAATAAAGAGAGCATTTTTACAAAGCCTTTGGAGATTTGGCTCAGCCCAGACTTGTACTAAGAGACAAAACAAGCTCTCCAGCTGTGTACACACAGCTCCTCCCTGCCAAGACAAACAGAGCCCTCGCTCTGCCGGGAGATGTTAAAAGTTACACTTTTCTCCAAGAGGCTCCTGGCCGGGCAGATTGGGGGGTTTGGAGCCAGGTGAGGTGCTTGGGAATGACCTTCCAAGGATCATTAGCGTGGCAGGGAAGGTTTAACCCTTCCAAGGAGAAAATGGGTTCCTGCTCCATCCCTGAGTTCGTTAGGATGAGTCCCTAAGCACCAGATTTGCTGGAGATGGGACCACTGCTGGATTTCTTCGAGGTTTGAGGTGTTCAGGGGCATCCTTGGGAGTCTCCAGTGGCAGGAGAGTCAAGTAACAGGCTTGGATCATCTGCAGCTCTCATTTTAGCTCTAATCCTTGTTCCCAAAGACTTTTCAGAGGGAAGATTAATTCAAAGCAGAGCCTGAAACCCACTGGTGGGGTTTTCTTTATACTCATAGGTGGAAAGGACGAGTTTCATCACAGAATCCTGGAATATTCTGAGTAGGAAGGGACCCACAAGGACCATCCAGTCCAACTCCTGGCCCTGCCCAGCAGGACACTGTTGGCTCATATTCAACTTGCCACCAACCAGGACCTCTGGGTCCCTTCCCATGGCACTGCTTTCCAGCCTCTCCTTCCCCAGTTTGTCCAGTTGTCCCATCCCAGGGGCAGAATCCAGCACTTGTGTGTGTTAAATTCCACACCTCTGGTGATTCCCAGCCCTCTCATTTATCCAGGTCTCTCTTCAGGGCCTCTCTGCCCTCGAGGGAATCGACAGCTCCTCCCAAATTTGTTTTATCACCGAACTTCCTCAGTGTCCCATCGAGTCCTCG